GTGTGTGTGTGGTGTACATGTATGTGGGTGTTGTAAACAAAAACAACAACAACAACAACAACAACAACAACTTCAGCAACTACAACTACAACTACAACTACAAGGAGGGGAAATAAAGACGATAGATGTTTAGTAGGAAAACGAAAAGGAGCAAACCACACCAGCGCACCCGCCAACCACCCGCCTTTGCCTTGTAATAGAAGACGTCTATTCAGGTAATTCAAGAACGCTTGAAGACTTGCTGTTTTGTGGCAGTTTAAAATAGAAGCAGTCACTGCGCTAGCAAAATAGCAGAACTCAGAGTTATACCAAAATGCAACTAGTCTTGTATTATTTTAGGTGGTACGTCATATCTATCTTTCGTTTACACCAAAACAAAATTGTGCTAGCAGCCACAAAAGGAAGGTGCACGCATGGCAAGTTTTACCATTATTAGAAGATCAACAGTCTTGTTAAACAGTTTTTCCCCATTTACTTTATATCAAAAGTAACAAAAATGAGATGTGCCATTTCGCAAGCGTAGTTACTTTACTTCCTTATTCACGCAGATTTATCATCTCTGTGTCTTTTATCTGAAACTTTAAAAGGCAGGCAGCAACATACAAACTGTGAAATATGCAAACTCATGTGTTCCTATTTTGTGTGTTTGTATATTAGTTCAAAATGTTATGCCATAACTTTGCCTTTGGCCTGCTGCTGATTAGACATACTATTACTAGAATCTGTCCGCTATTGCACCCTTGTAGAGTTAAAATCTCACGCGACGTTACACTGTAAAGTCTCATGATGCCCCAGTGGTTCATAATGCAAGCATTTTAATTTTTAAAAAGTATAACTCTCGGCCATTTTCCCTTTGTAGCCTTCAAATGAATTTGTAAAATGCAGGACACCCCCCCCCCCTAAAAAAAGCAACAACACAAAACAACTCCAGCAACAACAACAACAACAACAACAACAACAACAACAACAACAACAAAACTACATGTACGACTTACACTGCAACCCTTCAACTACTCGCTAAAGTGTGTCATTATGGGGCGATAAACATTTCTTAATTATTTCCAGAAGCCTCCAAAATCTCACGTCGCTCATGTTGAGTTTTGCTCTTTTTTTTCTTATACAACATCTATCGTCCTCATTTCTCCTTTTCCTGAGTATGATACCCCGCAGTTACACCTCTAATCTTTCTGTTTTCTTTGTCCGAGTAAAAAGAAGCACATCGCTACAATAAAGTTTATTTAGTGCTGGGAAAAAGTAAGACATACAGACAGAAACAGCAGAGGGAGAGTAAAGAAGTAGGACCTACCAGTGGCGCCCTCCAAACACCCGTGAAAATCTTGCACACAAAAGACTGTTGCTTATTCACGAAAATGATGTCAACAACACCACGGGACCCCCCCCCCTAAACAACAACAAACAACAACAACAACAACAACAACAACAACAACAACAACAACAACAACAACATAAAAACAAACAGCAACTAAAAGATCCCCAACAAACAATATAAAACAAAATAAGCAAAAACAAAAAAAGAAAAAAGCCCCCCCCCCAAAAAAAAAAAAAAAAAAAAAAAAAAACAGCAGATAAAACAGAAAAAAAGTCACAGTGACCTCGGATAAACAAGATCACCCTCTAATCTTCAATACTTATATTATGGCCTAACTGTTTTTCAAGAGGTGAAAGACTTTTTAAAACGAAAACTAGAAATCTACATCTCATCACGTTGTTACTTCCTTCTAGAACCGTTGCCGGGAGCTGACCTGTGCGCGCGGGAAACAGCTGGTGGACTCCAGGTGCGAGTCAAAGGTCAAGGTCGCTAACGGCCTGGCCTATGAGGTCAGCCTCACTCTGACCGGCGCTGTGAGCGAGAAGCAGACGGCCAAGATGACCCAGGACATTTTCCCGGGGACTGACAGAGACAGTGACGTCAATGAGGTGACCACTCTGTGTACCATATTGTTTGTTTGTGTGTTTGTGTATGTGTGCGTGTATACGTGTGTGTGTGTGTGTG